TTACAGAGTAAATTCACTTTTCATACAGCAGTTCACATATACTTTGTCTCATGTCATTGACCAAAATTTACAATGCAGCAGCTCCCCTCCCACTTCCTACCCATAGTTACCTCCTCCCAGTGTCCATCCCTTCATACTCTTCTGCACCCTGAGCTATCTCCCTGTGCATAAGCAGTTGGGGGCCACTTTAAACAGCAGAATCACCAACGAAAAGCACAAAAATGGGAAAAGCACAGAACACTGAGGAGACTGGGAAAAGGACATTTGTTAATAGTGTGAGAACTGAAACTAGGCAGAGTGGAACATATGTGTTGGGTGACTCAAATTTTTTGCAGCTCTGTGCCTGCCCTCAAGTGACTGCCAAAGCATGAGAATATTGATTTTGGGGTTACAAATAAATGTTAGTGAGTAGGTATATGCACAAATACAGAATCTATGAATAATGGAAAAAAAAATGAAACCAAACTCATTGCTGTTGAGTCGGTCCCAACTCAAAGCTACCCCTACTTGGGTTTCCAAGATGATATTTCTACTCGACTGCCCAATCTTCCTCTCTAGGAGTGGCCGGTGGGTTTTGAACCTTAGGCACTGCACCACATGAGTTAGTTTTCATGCAGCCTTTCTTTGTTTTATGGTCTCTGCAGAGAGAAGTATATTTTATACTTTCATCCTTTTTTATTGTCAGTCTCTTCATTTTCTCCTCTGGTAGTCTCAGAGCTCTCTTTGACCCTTCTCTATTACATTATACGGTGATAGATTTGAAGCACTTTTATAGTCTCTTATAAGCTATCTGGAAAAGACAGTTGGCTAACATCTTCCCAGGAAGTCAGCTTCTCTTTCCCTGTTCCTGGGAGCTATAGTGGTGTAGTGCCTAAGGCATTTGACTGCTAACTAGAAGGCTAGAGGTTCAAACCCACCAGCCACTTCTTGGAAGGTTGGGCAGTCTACTTCTGTAGTAGTGATTCCGCCTCAGAAACCCAAGGAAGAGTCGCTATGAGTCAGATCCAACTCAATGGCAGTGAGTTAGTTTTCCCTGTTCCCTATGTCATTTTACAAAGGTCCTGTGGCATTTTTTTTTAATATATATAAAAACAAGACCTAAAATAAATCACTGACCTTATGAACACTTTGTAAAAATGTACATACTTCAAACTTTTGGTTCTGCTTGTCTTTATCAAATATAACATCATTGGGACAGTGATAAAGTAAGTAGATTGGTGATAGTTTTATGAGACAGATGTAATTTTTGGATCATTTCCAGTGCTGATCTGATTTTCCCTCAGGTGTCTTTTACAGTGTTTTATACTGTTTTATTTTGGTTTATGTCAAATAATAATAAAGTCCCCTGTGTTTATGGATTCTCCCCTTAAGTGCAGGGGTTATTTCTTTATAGCTGTGTAATGGCTACCATGGTAGTAGTGGTAGGGGGCGGTAGTCCTAAGGAGTGTTGTGATTGCGAGAGCAGAGCAGTTTGTGAGCCCTGGAATGAGTGTATGGGTGAAGCCAGAATCATGGAGGATCTGAAGATAAGTGATTGTTTTTTGAAAAGATCAATAAAATTGACAAACCACTGGCAAATTTAACAAAGGAAAAGAGGGAGAGAATACAAATAATACGAATAAGAAACG